CGGGCGGGCGGGACGAGGACGAAGCCCAGCGCCGGGGCCTACCGCTCCCTGCTGGAACAGCCTGAGCGGGGCCGAGCGCGCTCCCCGCCCCCGTCCTGGCTCGGGAGGAGCTGACGGCCCGGGGAGGCAGAGGGCACCTGCTGAGCGAGACGGGGGGCAGGGGCGCGTCCGTGGCGGCCACCTCTCTTGGCCCCTGAGTCGACTCTGTTCTCGGTCTGCTTTTTCTCTCCCTGTTCCTCAGCCTGCGTCTCGGCTCCATTCCTAGCGTGGCGGCTCGCGTGGCACGACCAACAGCGACGCCGCCACAATGCACCGGGCACAGTAACGTACCACAGCTTCGCCCTGGCGCCTGCAAACCGCGCGGGGCTCCCTGCTCTTCCTTCTACAGCCCGCGTGCCCCACTGCACGAACGCACTCTTCTCAACTGGGAAGTGCCAACCTCCCGTAGCCAGTGGGAGCTGAAGCACACCGCAGTGACATGCTCTGCCCAGGCTCGTGCAGGAAGTCTGTAGCGGAGTAGGGTTTACTTTGTCCATCCCGGAAATGTCACTGTTGTAACGGTGTGTCCTGTCACTACACCACTGCGTAGAGCAGAAAAGCGAAGAAGAATCGTGTAACACCCGAATGCTTGCTCCATGTGCCTTGTCCTCCTCCTCTTCGTTTGAGAGATTCCTAGATTTGTAGGCAAAGCGATGTTCTTGGTAACTGGAAGGAAGCATATTGCTTGCATATGTTATCCCCATGTATGTATGCCCATGTTTAGACATGTGGCTTATTTCTAGCGAGTGAGTGAACATGAGTGATAGCTGGACAAGTGTGTGTGTAGCCTAGTCTTTGTTCTCCGAGACCTCAGTTTCTGTTTCATCAGGTTGTAGATGTTTGCAGTCTGTTGGCTGATAGCAAATGAACAGGGCAGGTTGCATGGTACTGAGAGAAGGTGCACATATTTTTATGGAGGGAAAAGGAGACAGAAGCTTTGGCAGTGAACACTGTGTTGCACCACTTTGAAATGTTCTTAATTTTAATACTAAAAGGACACAGAAGGGGTAATTTGCATATCAGGCAAAATTGTTCCTATTCAGGCAGTGTTTCACTGTTAATTTTAGCACCTGCACTGTTAAGTCCAGTGAGTAGAATGATGGCAAAGATGAAGGTTGTTTTGGGCATGACATTTCCCCCATTTCAATAAGGGTGAAACTGGAAAGTCATTTTAGACTGGACTAGGAGTGCAATGCATAGCAGTTAAGTTGTTTTGCTCCAAAAGTGTGTTTTGAGGCTCAGTGGTCATTCATGTCTGCAGGCTGCCCCCTGTCAAGCTACCTGTAAATACCTAGCTACACCTGGCTTGGGAAGTCAAAGGAAAGACCAGACACAATGCTAACCATATCACTTCCTTGTGTGTCAGCTAAAGAAACTTCATTTAATGTTACTGGTATTACATACTCTCTGTAGGATCACAGTGCAAAGGTGGTTTAAAAAGATGTGAATAAAGTCTAGCCCTGTAGTCTTCTGAATGTTTTATTTGTCTAGGATGCTGCTTGTGCTTCAGTTGCATTTGTGGTGATCACAGAGCTTGCTCCCCAGAAAGCTTTGGGCATTTATGTGGATAGAAGTGACCACAAATCAAACGGCAGCAGCCTACCAGCAGATAGCACGCTGCAGGCACTTCTTATTGAAAACATTAAACAGTTCACCAGTACAGTTACAATGGGAAGATGTATTGGGACTGTATGTTGTATGTGGCATATTAGTACCTCTCTTGGGTTACACCTGGGGTTCAGCTCATGGCTAGTAATTAAATAGCTATTTAATATTGGGGTGTTCATTTGGATCAAGAGTACAAAGGGGCAGGTACATCAGGTCTGAGCCCATGTAGGCTTCCCCTTTAAAGGGATTCAAACAAGCTCTGTTGAAGTCGCAGCAATGTATGCAACTTCAGTTCCATAGCTCAGGTGCTTGTTCCAAGCTGACTTAGCTGTGGAAGCAGTTTGCTTCGACGGAGAAGGGGGATTTCAAGGCTTTTGAGTAATGCCCCTTTCCTTACCAACATATGTTGTGGCACCAATTGGCTCTGGCAAAAGCAGCCCTTAATCCTATGAGACAGAATAGTTGTGACAAGGCAAGTTACCTGTATATTTGGGGTACAAAAAAATAATCCATTAAAAGCCATGCTTGACCTATCTGCCACCTATCTTGAATGGCTGATTTGTACCCTTTGTACTCGTATGACAATTCAGATAGTGTTCTGAAACCTGTCCAAATTCTTCAGCAGACAAAAACATGCAACTATGAGCAGGTCCTGAGGCTGGCTGTAACAGTCACGGAGCAGTGTGTCTGATCACAGTGCCCTGTGTAAACTATTTCAGTAGCTGATTCCCAGTGTGTGCTGCCTGTATTGCAAAGTAGGTTCATTTTTTGTGCCAATAAATTAATTTCTTCTTTTTAAATCCTTTTATCTTGTCACTAGGCTGCTCTTTGGAATTTATTGCACTCGATTAGGGACCGTTTCTCAGAATCAAGGAGTTAGAAGTGAGATTTGAGATAAGTGAGGCCCATTCGGTGCTGCTTTCCACTCCTCCGAAGGGGAAATGGAGTTATCAGGAATGAAAAAGAAGAGTTTGCTAGGATTCAAAGAGAATAATAAAAAATCCAACACTAGGTAATGATTCTGTCCCAATTTTCTAGGCCTAAAACTATTGTATAGTGTACTAGGGCTCTCCCAATGAGGGTGAGGAATTGGAAACATCTCTCCTTCTCGCAGTGAAAATGTCCATATGCTACAGCTTTGTTTTTCTTCTTTAAAGATTCTTTGAGGGCATAAATTTTGTCCTCCATGTTTTAAAAAAAACAGCCCCAAACTTTCCTAGTGCTCTGGCCCTGCACTTACAGCTATCCTGAGTTGCTTTTAAAGTTTGGTGTTCTTGTTTCTTGTTTGTTTGTTTGTTTGTTTCTTTTTAACGAGTGAAATACACCTTTGTTTAAATGTTTCATCTTAAAGGGCTCCCTCTCCAACCAAGCGCAAAGATCGGACTGAGGACAAATCGAAGGACAGGTCCAAGGATAAGGCAGCCACCAAGGAATCAAGTGAAAAGGATCGTGGTCGAGATAAAACACGCAAAAGGCGCAGTGCTTCCAGTGGTAGCAGCAGTACCAGGTAACCACAGTTTCTCTGGTGCTTCCAAATGGTGGTGAGCTGTAAATTTGACTGGTGGTTCCAGCTTGTTCCCTGCCTATGGGGACTAACTGAGGTTGTGCATGGTGTTAGCCACAAATAACCTCTTGGTTAACTTAGAAATTAGTCTTCGGAGGTGAGCAATGTCTCTTCCTTAGTTGAAATAATGTTAGCTGTGTGGTTGAACTCTCATTGGATTAACCATCCATTTGGTTAACTACCAGGGAAGAGCAGTTGACTACTCTTGGCCCTGTATGCTCTGCTTTAACTTCTTCCAACCAGGTCCCGCTCCAGTTCCACTTCCAGTTCAGGGTCTAGTTCAAGCACTGGCTCCAGCAGTGGTTCCAGTTCTTCTTCTGCATCAAGCCGCTCTGGAAGCTCCAGCACCTCTCGCAGTTCCAGTTCTAGCAGCTCCTCTGGATCCCCTAGCCCATCCCGACGTCGACATGACAACCGGAGACGTTCCCGCTCCAAGTGAGTTTTGTTCCTCTGTTAAAAAAATGACTGGATGATTGAGGAGGTGCCATGAGAAATGTAAGCTTGTTATCTACTTGCCCCCTACCCCAGAGATATGATCTGATTTCTCTAATGATGGAGAATGAATGCCCTCTACACTTGCAGTTGAACCATACATTAAACAAGCAACTAGTGTAGGACTGTCTGTATAAGTACTCTGGAACTTGTGACCAGGACCAATAAAGAAGTGGGGGGAAAAAAGGCTGGTGAAAAAGTGTAAAGAAACATGTTTCTTAAAGGCAGAAGTGGAACTGCCCTTCTGTTTTCTCCTTCTATGTGGGGATGGTGGGAAAGTTGTATCACTTCCCTCTGAAGACAGCACTGGTCCCAGCCTTCCTACAGTGTCTGTAACAGACGGCTGTTAAGAACAATACTGTTTACTCATGAAAAACTTGGGGGTCAGAAATGGTTGGAAACAAACCTTAACACTGAAAGCAGGGTGTCTCTAGATAAGGCCTCGTATCTACCTTCTGCTATGACCCTTCCACCCAGTCCAGTGGAAATAGTACAGTATTCTTTATGAATCCACAGTCCCTCCAGCAGAAGGAGCTACATGTAACCATGTTAAGTGCGCACATGCATGTTTACAGGATTGCGGCATAAATACATCGGTGTGTTGCAGACTTACACTAATAATGAGTAAATGCATCATAGAAATTGGAAAGACAGAGCTTGTTTTAACAGACTAGAGGCATAGGTCAGACATCTTGTATTCAGGAAGGCTGGGGTAGGAAGAGATGTTTCCGAGTTGCATACTCAGGAAGATTGCACCTCTTCCCTCTTCTGCTCCTCTTCTGTTTTGGGTCAGAGATCACTTTAAGTTCTGGGGGCAGAGTGGAGTTTTGAATTCCTGATTCCCCATCTGGGCATCAACTAACTGCTTTACGTATCCCAGTATACAAGATGGATAAATTTATTGGCCTGGTATTTATGTGTAAATGGCTAACAGTGAAAGGGGTGGTGTTGACCATTTAAATTTGACCCTAGCTTAAAGTGGAAGTTGACTGGCATTTGGCATTGGAGTGAAATGAGAAGGAACTCAGTTCCATGGTCCCCAGGCTGTGTGGATTTTTTCACCTTTAGATGCGAGCACGTGTTACTTGCTGCATCTGCTCTACCTTCTGTAAAAGATTGCTAAGAAATCCTAAAGGCTAGAGAATTATTTCAGATTAAAGCATTTATTTTGGAACACAACTGCATTTTTTTTAAATCATTTGAATTGCTACATAATGCAGGGTGGTCTGTTTAGGAAGCAGATACTGCAATAAGAACTCAATTGCTGGACCTGTGTGTCTGCTTTACTTAGTGCTTCGTATGTTCCTTGCTGCTCTTCAGCCTCGGAGGGAGTAAAGCAATAGTTGCTTCCAGTCTCTTAGGTCTTATATATACTAGGGAAATTAAGAGAATTTTCCACCCTCGACTCAACTGGTAGCCATGTTGCAAGCCGGTGTATCTGCAGCTTATCCTGACAATGCTGTTTTTGGGTCTGTTATGGTGTAGTTATCCTCATGTACACTAAGGTTTCCTTTAATAATACTTTGCCTTTTCCTGAAATGTTCTTAGTATAAAGGGATTTTTATTCCCAGGCCATAGCTTCTCCCAATCCCTTTTTATATAATAACCACGGTAATCTGATGTTTAACAGCAAATAGCTCAAACAATTAGGGGTAATGATCATTAGTACAGTACACATGTACAGCTGTAGAGCCCTACACACAGTCATCATCATTGCTCTTGAGAGGCATTATTTCTGTTTAACAGATGGGACAGAAAACTAGGTACCATTTGAGAGCTAGAAATCCCAGGTGTCAAATGTTGGAGTAGTATCCCAATTAACTTATACGTGTTTTATAACCCTAGCTGTATAGCTGCTAATGATATGTAAAAGAGACTGTTGAAATGACTCTGGCAAACCAAAAAGATGCTTTCAAGTTTAATTTTGTTTTTCTGGGACTAGTGATTGCTTGGTGAGGTAGAATCATTTGGTCTATGTTGCTGACCTAGAACAGCAAAAGATTCCACTTAAAAATGAAGTGGGGGGGGGGGAATGTTGGTGGATATCTAGGAATGTATACTGTCTTGAATGTTTGGAAAGGTCTTCCCAAGTGATTGCATCTTCCCTGTAAAGAAATACTGAGGTAACCTCTCAAGGAAAAGGAATGACAAGCTTTTTCCTCACTCCCTCACTTAAAATTTATGAAGAGGGCCTGAAATACCATTTCCAAACATTTTCTGCCTTTTTCTTTTTTTAGCTAGCTTAGAAATGTGGGTCTTCTCCATCCTGGAGGAGACTGAGTGGACTGACAAACTAGTTAACTTGACATCATCACAAGAGTCAAGAAACTGAAAGAACTAAGCAATAAAATGACGTTTGATCGTATTTGAACTTTTCATTTGTTCGTGCTTGTGAAGCTGACACTGACCAATAACTTTGCAGAAAACAATCTGTTAAACATCGCACGCTTCTGCCCCTCAGCAATTCTGGTATGAAAATCTCAGGGAATGTGTGCTGTGACCCCCCCCCCCCAGTGAGTCCTTCAGCAAAACCTGGGGAAGAATAGATATGAGTTTGGGGAAATGTTGAAGTTTCAAATAGCAAAAATACCTATAAGGTTTATTCTTTCCTTAGATCTTTTTCATCATAAAGTAGTAAAAGGGACCCAAAGCCAGTTTTAAAAAAAAAAAAGCTCTGTGTAAATGCTTATGTGTACTTGGGGGTTGGCTGCTGTTGCAGGAGACCTGTAAATAACCAGAAACTTGGACAAATCTCTGATATTTAAATTAGGTCAAAGCCACCTAAGAGGGATGAAAAGGAGCGGAAGAGACGAAGTCCTTCACCCAGACCTACCAAAGTGCATGTTGGGAGACTCACCAGGAATGTGACTAAGGTATTGGCCTCTTCTTGAACTTTGAACTTTCACTTTTTTTGTGAAGGTGCTCTAGTTTTTAACAAAAAAATAATAATTCCAGCTGCGTTTTGTTACTAGACTGCAATCACTCTCTCGTTCTTATTTTATCTGTACCTGGGTTTAAGGTGCACTGGCAGATCTGTGAATAGGGAAATTTGCATGATATCTGGTTGTGCTGTACTTGGCCATAAGTATTGAATCTATGCTTTAAAAGACCTGTGTGCTGTTTTGGCATCCTCGATTTAGTGCCTCTGAACTATCAAGAGGCAAACCCTGGGTTTCCTGCTTCTCTAGCAGTGTGTAACATAAACGTAATTTGACTTTGTGGGGTGGGGGGTAAGTTACCTTCTTTTCATTAATAATAATCAGAGCACAATTGAAGATAGATATCATTAAGCTGAGCTGAAGAGAATGCAGCTCAACTCAGTCTGCCTTCTCGGATGATGGCTTTGGTGGGGCAATAGTCTCTGTCAAAAGCATGTATGACTTTTGCTGCATTGATAATTATTAATATAAAAGGTAGACAGTACATCTCTCTAATCAGGAGTGTTTGACCCCAGACTTCAGCTCTTTCTTCCATTTCATAGAAAGGCTTCTGGTTTCAGTACTTTCTGCAACTGATTTTATGTTGAAGAGTGGTGCAGAGCATAGTGCCAGTGGAGTTTGGGAAAAGTGAGGATGAAACTGAATAAAAAGTTGTGAAGAAATTAATGGAAATTTGTATCCAAATTCAGTGAAATGAGACTGGTCTGTGTTACCGACAATGCTGTTGATGATTTTGATTTGAAGCTGATTCTATGTTTGTGTGCACCTTTGCTTTACCATTCTGTGTTGGTAAGACCTGGTGAAGTGGGCATAGGCACTTTCCTGAACGGTTACTGTCTCCTTGCAGGATCACATCATGGAAATATTTTCCACTTATGGGAAGATTAAAATGATAGACATGCCACCTGACAGGCTGAATCCCCATCTCTCTAAGGGCTATGCCTACGTGGAGTTTGAAAATCCTGATGATGCTGAGAAAGCACTAAAACACATGGATGGAGGTAGGTACCAGACTGTGCAGGGATACTGGGGAGGGCCAGTAGAAAGCCATGGTGGGTGAGGGGTTGACCAAGGGTTAACAGTAGTATCTGCCTGGTGCCTTCCTCCCTGCCAAGCTCTTCAGTTTTACAGTCCTGCTTTTCTGTATTTATTCCAAATGGTTACTGTCATCTGTTGTGCGATGGCCAGACCCACACATATAGGGGAATCACTGAAACTATTGAGACACAGAGTGTTACCATGCAAGGTAATCAGTGTGACAGAAACAGTGCTCTCATCATGTGGTGTTTTTACTGATGTCCCCTGAGCTGTCTTGCCAAGATAGCAGGTGTTTTTAAAAAGTCACATCCTTATGTAGAAGAGCCTTTAAACTGACCATCTAAGTGCCTTGCTTGAGGTGACACTAAGTCAGTGGCAAAGTGAGAAGTAGATCTTGGGTCTCCTGATTTGTAGGCTGGAGGCTACACTACAAACATGTTGCAAAGAAGCAGCTGTGTGAGAACAGAAACCTGTGGCTGGGTGCAATCATGCTTTGTGTGCAGTATCAGTGCTGGAAGAACGTTTAGTTCATTCTTTGTCTTTGACTCTAAACAGGGCAGATCGATGGCCAGGAAATCACTGCCACTGCTGTATTGGCACCTCGGCCTAGACCACCCCCCAGACGCTTCAGCCCACCAAGGAGAATGCTGCCACCACCACCAATGTGGCGTCGGTCCCCACCTCGCATGAGAAGAAGGTAAGTCCTCTTTTGTGAAGTATTTCAGAGGTGTGTTGTCAGGACAGTGTTAATTTTCATTCTTGGTGCCACAGTGTTTTGTCTGCCCTGAGATTTCATCATTGGCAACTTTGCCCCAGGCTTGATTTCCTCTTTCCAAAAAGTAGTGAAACACTCTTGAATGGGGCATTTCAACTCCTTTGAGATCCGCTAGAACAGGGGTGGGTAATTATTTTGGGCGGAGGACCACTTACTGAGTTTTGGCAAGCCATCGAGGGCCATGTGATAGGTAGCCAGGGGCAGATAAATAGTAATTTTTAAATTTTTTAGGGGCCCTGCAGGCCAGATAGAATGGCCTGGCAGGCTGCATCTGGCCCCTAGGCTGCATTTTGCCACCCCTGTGCTAGAACCAGCTGTAACAACTAGGGGCTGTGATTGGTGATGGATCTTTGCTGGAAAGATTATGGAATTGGAGACCCTTTTTCTCTATGAACGATGACTTTGGTTAACTTGATTTAGTTTCCACAGTGTATCTGTCATTTATCAAACTACTTAGTCCTATGATTTTTAGGTCTTGTATTTTCTGTCCTTTGTTTGGTCTTCAGTTCCAGAATCTTGGTGCTTGGTTAGTTTTTTTTGACTTTTTATAACCATCTAGGCTCTGTGTGACGGAAACTGTATTACCACTATCTGTTACACTCTTCAGGTCATCAAGAATCCTGTGGCAACTTTTGTAGGAGTAGAAGGGTTGTTATGTTATCCTTGGCCAAAATACTCCATCTTGCTGTGTTGAGAACTCCTAAGTTGCCTCCTGGGACTCCAGAAGTCGCTGTGTTTCACTGGAGCTCTTAAAAATGTTTCGCAGTTTGATTTGAGAGAGGTGCTAAGTGAGTGTAAAATAATTTAAGCTGACTGTCCTTGTCTCTCAACCACAGTTTCCACCTCTTTATTTTGTCAGGTCTCGATCTCCAAGACGCAGATCTCCTGTTCGCAGACGATCAAGATCCAGATCTCCAGGTCGAAGACGCCATCGCAGCCGCTCTAGCTCAAACTCTTCACGATAAAGCAAAAAGACTGGACACCTTTTTATTTTTTAACTTAAATCTCCTCAAACTCAATATTGTACCTTTTTTTTTTTTATACTGG